TTTGTTTGGTTTGTTTGGTTTGTTTGTTTGTTTGTTTGTTTGTTTGCTTGTTTGTGCGTGTGTACTGCCTGCAATACTCTCAGCACCACTGCGATTAACGGTATGATTCCAGGAGCTTGGCCTGATTGTCCTCATGGGCCTAATCTGCCGTTATTATTGCTGTGACTTGTTTAGTCTTGCCAATACTCTTGCTATGATGAACGTCTTTGTCATTTATCTTGTTTGGAATGCTGGATGTCTTTCCGGTCACAGGAACCATCCGAAGAATTTCAGAGACTATGTAAACCAACAACATCGGCAAACATTGACAAGAGGTGACAATCGCTCCGAATGGTTGGAACCATCCATTGGGGTCGCTTTGTACAGTTCACAAAACAAGAACGCCGAATCGATCCCACCGTTGCAAGCAGGACAATTTACCAACAATCCAAGCCGCCCCTTGTTATGCAGTACTGTGCTCTCGCTTCCGCTGCTATGATGATTTGGGGCGATATTGAGGACTGTCGCTTTCATGTTCCAGCCCGATCTCAGATAGCTTGCAGTGTTATGTGGCCTTGCGGGGGGTGATCTGCTAGGGTGAGGCGATGGTTTCAATTTCCACCTGGCACCCTGCATGTCCGATACAAGATAACCCTCAAACGTAATGTGGCAGCAACCAGCGGTAACCAGCGACTGGCCTCCGTCATCGGCTGACGACGAGGCTGGAATCTCTGAGCCGGGGTCAGCTCCACGCTCACAGCCAGCTTCCATGTCTGAATTGACATCGGCTGGCGTGCGTAGAAGACTGGCATCTGAGCCATCGTCCTTCGCACAGAGACTCATAAAGCGACAACTAAGACTAAGACTTAGCACTTTCAACATCTTTCAACTGCTGCATGGGCCCCAACTCCTACATCCCAGAAAACCCGACCAGCGTCAGTTCGACCGGCCCCCACGATAGCCGGATATCAAGACCTTCCGTAAGAGCTCCAACCCAGGCTTCCCACACGGACCTCGGAAAATGAGTCGAATTCATCATCGTCCGCAAGCTCCTTGTCTGCCTGGTCCTCCAGACGGAATCTCTTCAGCTCCAACCGAAGACTGCGCTGAGAGTCCGGCATTCGAACCGTGGAGCTCCGGGAGCTCAGGACCTGTCGGAAACGAATGCTGTCGCTTCGTGCAACAGCAGCTCAGAGGATCGCAGAGGCACTGAGGCATCCCGCTGCAAGGACCAGAGGCCTCGACAGCACCTTGGTAGTGCCCCGGTGGCAGCTCGACCCGAAGGTATCCGAAGGTCACCCCGCGACGGCCTCTATGGACACCGTCAGCTTCGTCGGCTTCTGGCTCCGAGTCACTTCGAGAGGAACTTAGCAGAGAGGCGGCAAAGACTGACATAGAAACAACACCGAATATTGTGCAGGCAAGACTGACCAAGCCATACACTCTGTGGAGTATGCATCGTCGTTAAACCAGCACGTGGGCGACGAGGCAACTCCTGTCTCTCAAATCGCGAAGTCATGCTAGTGATCAATGAATCGCATGGTCGTCACTGCTTGAGTCCAGTGCCTGTCCAGCTATTTACATTTGCGCCATTGGCAGGGTAACCTCGTACGCGCCGCCATTTCCGACACTGAGACCAGAAACTCTACCTTGGGTCCATGCTTTGGCTGGGAGTCCAGCTCCCCCCTGGCACAGCACTTCGAGGGGTTGCGGGAGTGCCAACAAGCGAAGGAGCGTCCTGTCACCGTCCAGGAGCTCTCGTGGCTCCATGAGCCCTGGGCAGAGAAAGCTGGGCAGAGAAAGGACACAGGGGCTGAGCACCCTCGCCCAAAACAAGTTAAGCTTTTCAATTATGGCGCATAAACACCAAAAGGTTATAAAAGGTTCAAGGTTACCTACTGACTCGGCTATTGGCAGCTGCAGCACGTCTGAGGCCCTCACATTCCATCCCCATTGCTGCACATCGCCTCAGAACCGGGATGCCAGCCATTGCCGGCCAGTCACGAACATATACGAACATCAAACAACCCCGGCCCGCCTTCCGGCAGGAACTCGGCAGCCGCTGGCGACAAGGTCACAAGTGCTGCCGCCTTTGTTGACCGTCCCGCAAACGGGGCTGTCGGCCTTGCAAGCGAGGGGACCAAGGAAACAGAGTTGAAAAATGGCTTCAGCAAGTCAGAGAATGCAAAAGGCGGAATTTTTTTGTGGCCTTCTGTTTTTCTGACCGTTTTTTTTTGGGGGGGCCCTTGCTTCTCTTCTTTCCTAGGAACCGGGGGGCATGGACATGGGGCTGGGGGTGCGCGCAGGGGCTGCGGGCGGGAGACCCGGGGGCCGGGGCTGGGTTCCCAACCTGGTAACGCATCTACACATCTGTACATCTATACATATGTATGTATATGCATACACCTATATATATATATATATATAATATACATATACATATATACATAAACACATATTTAACTATATAGATATTTACCTATATACCTATATACATATCTACACATACTGTATATACATATATACAGGTATACATACGGACAAATACACAAATACAGAAAGACAAATAAATATATACATATATACGTAAACAATCGTAAACATATGTACATACATATATATATATATATATATATAGCTCGTGTTGGAGATTGGAAGCTTGTCCGGCCTGGTCCAACCCTTCAAGGCTGCGAGCCCAGAAACCAATCACAGGATGCAATCCTGCATAATCTGAACACAAAATCACTTGTCTTTAAATAGTCCCTTGTCAGGTCTTAGGTGGCTTGCCAGTTGATCCTCATCGGCAGGTCTCCTCTGATACATGTGTTGTGTTTTCTGAAGCCGGGGTGCTGTGGTTTGCCGACTCGAAGCACACTCCTTCACGTACTCTCATGCATCCGATTTCCTCGAATCCTAGAACAACTCGACAGAAAGCTGCTGTCTTGCATCGAGTATGCTCAGGCTCAAACACAAACTCAGTCGCTCCAGCAGAAAGAGAAGAATGTTTCCCATTCCGTATGTCCTGAATACGTCAGGAGATAAACTTCAAGCGCTAGACAAAGACAGTCTTCAGCGCCGGTACACATAGCTCAGCAGTGCACACTCATCCAACGTAGCTTTTGGCTTACAGCCCGGACGGATTCAATCCTGGAGAATTTCACAAGGACAGTGGCCCCAGCGACAAACTGCAGCGTCAACCTGGCCTCTCATATAGATTGCCTTCGGCAACCATGTACACCAAAGCTTGTGTGCTGGCTACGTCCGTCAACTCATTCTCTTAGACGTTTGAGCCGAGAGTTGTGGGACAGCCATGAATCTCAGAACGTGTGGAGTGCTGGCAAGGTAGGTCATTCGCGGGGGACTTCACTTGTGTATCTACTGCAAACAGCTCAGTTGAGCACGGCACATGATGGTAAGTGAACGTGTTGGAGCTGCACATGTCACATCTCTCAAACGAGGGAAGTAAGCAACAACGCAGCTGATGCGGCGCAGAGCAATAATTGGTCTATGTCTCGCGCTACAAACAAGCAAGTAGAAGACCCTGGCATTCGCATGAATAAACGGATCCAGCATTCCAGATTTCGGAACCGCTGGCAACCGGTGTGCTCCAAACATATTTGGAACCGCGCAACACACCATGCCGTGGTAAAGCATGGAGCATTGGCTAGAGGATCTATCTGCATGGACTGCAGTGAACATTAACTGAGCAGCTTTTGCATCAGGACCCCCGGAGCAACTCCGCATTGAACTTGTGCAGCAGGGTCTGACATGTAGAAAATCACGCAGAAGTCAATTCGAAGGTTCCTCTGTGCTCGAGCCGATCGCCTGCCAGTGAGGTGACGACAAACATCCTTTGTGCTTGGATTTAACCTGGCGAGAGCAGCAGGATTCTGAACTGCCTTCGCTTGAGACTGAGCGCCTCGGAAAGAGCACGGTCTAAGCCAAGGCCCTCAAACTCCATGAGATACCTGGCACAGACACCACGTTGCTACGTGTGAAACGAAGGCAAGAGGATTGCAAGAGGACACCAGAGACGAGCAAAGCCAAAGCAGGGCACGCGCAAACCAAGGCGGCACTTCGGGAGAGGCCCTGTGCCGAAGCAAAGCACAGAAACAAAAGCAACAGAGGTCACCTCCCAGCCTGCACGCAGTGCACGAGGACTACATTCTCGGAATTCTCCGAGTTGCGGCCCTTACTGAAAACCAAGTATGGTCAAGGAGCGAGCATGCACCAAACAGTCCTGAAGAGCCGTGGAGATGTACTTCGTTGCTCCCCTCACAGTCTTGAACTTTTGCCTGGCTAGGTCAGGCCCACCTTACTAGTACACGCGAAAAGTGAAAGAACATCTTGCAGAGTGCTTACTGCAACATGTTCTGTTGAATGCAGTCCGGCCCGACCGAGTCAGGTTTCGCGTTTCCTCTTCCCGGTCTTGCCAAGGAAGCAGCAAGTACCTGTCGTGTCGACAAGTTCGTCATCGCAAATTGGAGCACAACAGCCTCACCAGGTCACTTGATGCCATGCGATTCATAGGCAGGCGGCACTTTCTGCGCCTGTTCCGCACAAAAGGGCCTGCTGTGGTCCGTGACTTACACGAGCCTCGATAGCGCAATTCACGATGTGAGTGATGCCCAACCTGCGGGGGAGTTCCAAGCTGAGCCATACCCAAATGGACAGTTCTGGGAAGGTCCGGGATGAGTGCTTTTTCAGCATTGGCCAATAGGCAGCGTCTGCCATGTTCCCAACGTACCTGCCCAACCAGAGAACTGTGATTTTCCTCTCTCCGCGGAGGACATCTCACTTCTGGCTCTGCCCCGCGGCCGAGGCGGCTCTCTTTCTAGTGGTAGATTTACTTCTCTTCCCCGCTCTTATCGAAGGCTTGAGGTCACGTGTGGGGTGACTCCGCACCGGATGCTGTGGCCCTGCTGGCTGCGTTGCTGTCGTGGGTCGCCTCTGTTCTTGGGTCCACCAATCCATCACCCTGTCTTCTAAGGGTCTGTGACAGGGTCTGTGCGGAGCTGCTAAAGCAAATGGAAAGGCGATCAATGGCTGGGCTGGTTTATGGGAGTTGCTGACGCCGTGGTCTGTCGTGTCTCGTGATTCTCTCGGTGGGTCGAATCGCATACTTTGGTGACCATGCATGGCAGCCGCGAAGGTGATTGACTGTTGGCGGGCACATCGCTGGCCCGCTCTCCTCGATCCGCCAAGGGAAACTGGTCAAGCCGCGGCGTGGGTTCTACTTGTCTGAAAAAGAGGAGCCCTTCCAGGACTGTTGCGATCGGCGTATCTTTCGCGGGTATGTTTCACGGTATGTTTCGGAGTATGTTTCGGGGTGTGTTTCGGCGTGTGTTTCGCACTGCCACGACGTAGTAGTAGTAGTAGTAGTAGTAGTAGTAGTAGTAGCAGTAGCAGTAGCAGTAGCAGTAGCAGTAGTAGAGTAGTAG